GATGCTTCTTTTCTCCTATGGGCACAGTCTCCTTCTGTGCCCCAGCTCCATCGTGCTGAGATAACAGGCCTGAGCCACTGTGCCCGGTATTTCTGTTTTTGTGTTTTAATGTAAACAGGTCTTAAGGTTGCCTCTGGTCTGCTTGTCATCTTAGCAATGTACACGAGACACCTTTCTGAGTGTAAACAGAGCTGTGTTATAAAAGGTCATGTACACTGTGTGGTGGCACACACTTGGCATCCCAGACTCAAGAGGCAGAGTCAGGCACATACCTGTGAGTCCAAGGCAGACTGGTCTACACAGTGAGTTCGAGGCCAGGGCTAGGTAGAGTGCATAGTGAGATGGATGGACTGACTTGACTCTGTCTCTGTCTCTCTCTCTCTTTCGAAGAAAGTTCTCTGGGTGTAGTGGTACCCATAATCCCAGATTGAGGCAGGAGGATTATAAATTCAAAGTCAGTCTGGAATACAGAGCAAGGACTAGTCAATGAGCGTGAGTTCTGTCCCCGTCACCACTTCTGTGACCTTGGGCACACTGCTTAGCCTCTGTGCCTCAGTTTCTTTGTTTGCAAAATAGAGACAAGGTGACTATGCACTTAGTAGGACCTACAGAAGATTAAATTGCTACATATGTACAGCACTTAGGGTGGCAGACGCATGGCGAGTATGCATGTCTCTCAGGGTAGAGGCGTGTGGCGAGCATGCCTGTCTCTTAGGGTATCAGATGTGTGGCGAGCATGTATGTCTCTTAGGGTAGGCATGTGGTGAGCATGCATGGCTGCAGATTGGCACTTCACATGTCCCATGATGCAACTCTTTCTCTCCTACTTGCATTGTGAACTGTTCAGTTACTTGCATGTATGTATCTTTGTGCATTTTTGTTTTGTTTTTAATAATTATTTGTAGGGCAGATGTCTTGAAGTGGGAATTTCTAGGTCAAAGGTGAGTTTTCCCATTGCTCTAGGAATATCATCTGTGCTAAATCCAAGTTCTAATTCCACTCAGGCAAGTTCACATATTTACTGTGCAGTCTTGTAGAAAACCAAAATTAAAATGAAAGACAGAGGGGTTTAATTAAATGTTATGAGTTACTATTTTATAGCTTAAGATGGTTCAATAATTGCAATTTCCTATGCTTCAAAGGGGTCTAGAAAATATCACTTATGCTTGATGTGCTAGAATGATCAATATTTCGGGTATTCTCTCCTTATGTTAGAGATTTAATGACCTACAGTTTTTAGGTAATGTTGTTGTCATGATGATGTTGATATTTGGGGATGTACATTTGTTAGGGTGGGTCTTGATTCTGAAGAAAGCAGACCATGCTCAGTGTTGCAGGAATGATTTGTCCTGGTTGTGTGATTCACGGTTAGCGGTGCGGGAGAGCATGTGATCTGTATCGAACTCTGCTCCATGCCGGCTGCCGAGAGTAAAGCTGGAGCCGCCAGGACAGCCCCTTTCCTGCCTGGAAACCCGGTTTTTATAATTCATGTTAGGGAACTTGTGTGAGCCTAGAAGGTTCCAAAAACACCAACAGTCACATTTAAGATTGTTACCCAATGGTGAAAACAGTGGAAATTAAACAGGATGATATGATGATTAATAAAATGACTAATTGCTAATGTCTAGTACAGGCAGCTTGCTGGCAGAGCTGCTGTGTTGTTCCTTGCCTACAGAGGGCATTCTGGTAGGGCAATGCAGCAGCCAGCACGTGAACCTTAGAGATACCCACACTCCTCAGCCCACTGTCACATATGTGGTGGTGATCTCAGGACCTGTGCCCCAGCTAGAGGCAGGGGATTGAGATCCAGGGTCTTCTCATCTGCATGCCAGTCCCAGACCAGCCTGGCTATAGAGGATCTGTCTCTTTCTTGATGACTCTCACTTCTGGGGGCCTGGCTTGATGACATGTCTAGAGATGGCCAGTGGTTTACTATTTTAAATAATTTATACAGTAAAAGACTGGAGACTATACTGGAGAATATTCAGTAGCAAAGGAGTGTTTAGCTGTTTTATAAACCTGCCATGTGGCCATACTGTGCCATTTAAACTCATTTTTCCCGTGAAAATGTTTGTACGACGCCATGTTAGTCATGAGTGAAAGCTTGAGAATAAAGGAGTGGGCAGTAGTGTCTGTTTCTGGTGGGAGCAGAGATGGCGCTGGGTTTTGTGCCTTCTGCTTTTCTTACTTTGGGCACCTGCTGAGAATTTTGCAGTAAAGCCATATGTTGTATCATAGGAAGAGCACGTGAGTCCTTATACATAATACAATTTGTATTTACAGACATTTTCAACGAAAGCTTCTTAAAAACCTTATAAAGATGTCAATATTTATGTCAGTTTAATAACTACTTATTAAATGTGTTTTACATGCTAGGTAGAATTCTTTCCTGCAGCTGTGAAGGCCTTGCTGTCCATGAGAGGAGAGTGCTGCAGTGTGAGAGGGAGGGAGTGGCACATGGCTTAGGGCATGCGCGGCTTGTGCCTGCTGAAGCCGTACACAGAGGCTGGTAAAACATCTTAAATTCTTAGTGTTTTAGTCACTGCTCTGTTGCTGTCAACAGACACCATGACCATGGGCGCTCTTATAAAAGAAAGCCGTTACAGTTTCAGAGGTTAGCATTGTCATCATGGTTTAGAGCATGATGTCACGCGTGGTGCTGTAGCTGCAACTGAGAGTTACATCCTGATCCAGCTGGGAGGGGAGGGAGGGAGAGAGGCTGACCGCTGGCCTGCTGGCCTAGTGCGACTTATGATAGATACTTCAAAGCCATCCCCAGTGACACACTTTTTCCAACAAGGCCACACCTCTTGATCCTTCTAATCCTTTTAAATAGTTCCATTCCCTGATGACTAAGCATTCAAATTCATACACCTGTGAGGGCCATTCTCATTCAAACCTCCACATTCCACTTCCTGCTCCCCATAGGCTTGGAGCCATATCATCAAAAGTCCCGATAGTCTTTCAGGATCTCAACATTGTTTGAAAGTCCCAAGTCTCTTTTGGAATTCATGCAATCTCTTAACTGTAATTCCCTGTAAAGTCAAAATAAAAAAGCAAATCACATACTTCCAAAATAAAATGGTAGTGAATTTATGTCACCATTCCGAAAGGGAGGAAAGGAGGCCCAGTGAGGAAGCCCCATACTAAGACTGAAAACCAGCTGGGCAAACTCCAAACTCCATGTCTCTATAGCTGATGTCAAAGGGCTCCTCAGATCTCCAACTCCTTTCAGCTTTGTTGACTGCAGCACACTTCTGTCTGAGCTGGTTCCACACCTGGTCCTCAGCTCTCCTTGGCAGGTAGGCCACAGCTCTGGCATCTCCAACATCTTAGGCTCTCCAGTGAAATCCAGGCTCCACCTTCACAGCCTCACACAGTGGTTACTGTTGTCAAAAGATTGCGGCAGTCAGTTGAAAGTCAGGGTGGACCCTTAAATGTTAGTGTGTATACAGGGAGCTCGGAAGTCCTGAATGCACGCTACAGAGGACAGGGGACGTGCAGGAGACTGCCTGTGCTGTCCTCAAAGTGGGGGTAACTTACTGCATGGGGCAGAGAGAAAGAGAAGTGAGGCTTTGGGACTGACACTGGCAGTCACAGCCTGCACTGCTCTCCTTGTGGGGCGCAGGGCAGGGTGGTTTGCGGCTTTCTGAAGTCCTTGAAGGGAACCGTAAGGTAGAAGCTTCCTGGACGAGTTTAATGACTTTATACCTGTGGTCAGTTGCTCATGATTATTTATTTTGATCTAACTGCCTTGGTATATGATGCCCAACTGCAGATGAAAACCGATCAGAAAGTTCACCCTGTTCGTCTAAGTAGGGAGGCTCATTTTAACCCCTTCTTTTTAAGAATTGACGTGTGTATTTGTTGTGCATGTGGACATGTGCATTGTGGAGTGCTTGCAGGGAGGGCGGCTGCAGAAGCTGTTCTCTGACTTGGCAGCAGCTGAGCCCACCGCTTGTCCTGACCCCTTCACTTCCCAGTTTTGGGAGCCATCTCTGTCCTCACTGAGGGTGCATTTGTAACTCCACCCGTTGAGATGTTGGCGCCAGGGTTAGTGAACTTTTCTTTTGGTATGATTTTTAATTATTAAACGTTTAATCCATTATGGTTTCTGTGATTTTTTTAAAATGTAGATTCTAGTTAGGCAACCTCTCTAATTTTGAGTTTTTAATGCTTAAAATAAGAAGAAATCTATAGTAAGCAACTACCTAGTCAGCATTGTTGGGATATATTGGGTTATTTCATGTCCATTTGATGTCTGTGGTCTCACTTCTGCGATGTCAGTGGGCTCTGAGTCCAGAGGTGTGTATGGGAACACACTGCCAGGGTATTCTTTTCTCAGGGGCTCACCTTATGAAGAGTTGCCTAGCTAATTTCCCCCAGTTGTATTTGTTCATACAAAACACATGACATGTACCAGGGGCAGAAGATGGTAAAATAAACATGTCACTTATGAAGGCATAATTATATACCAGCTGTCAGATCCCCTTCCAGTTCTGGACTGGGCATCCTCAGAATGGAGTGATGCTGTTGATCACTGTATACTATAGTGGACAGTTTTAAGTAGCAAATTGTCTTTAAAAAAAAGTCTTTAATAGACAAGTTTTGACCTAAGCAGAAGACTAAATAATGTTTAACTTAAAGATTTTAACTTTGTGGGGATTATAACTAATTCCCTTTATAGGAAGAAATAGGTTGAAATTTTTAAAAAGTAATTGGCACCAGGAGATGCGCTTGTATCGTACTTGCAGTAGTACTTAGCAGTAGTACTCACAGCAGAACTTAGCAGCAGTACTCACAGTAGAACTTAGCAGCAGTACTTAGCAGCAGTGAGCTCTAGAGAAGAGTGTCACATTTTATTGCACTAACTTCTCTGACAACATGTTGGATCTTTGATATTAATGAACTTATTTTTGGTTAATTATTAATACTTTTTTCCCGTGGCTTAAGTATGGACCAGTGTGGATCTTAATTCTTGCTGTTGCACTTGTTCACAGGTGGCAAGCTCTGGTCCTACATCAGTAAATTTCTAAACAGAAGTTCTCAGGAAAGCTTCTACACTAAGGAAACGAAACCGAGCTTGCCGCACCGCGTCTGCCTGCAGCAGCCGAGTGCCAGTCCCCAGGACAGCAGCAGCTTCGAGTCCAGAGGCAGCGACATGGGGGGCATGCTGAAGGTCCTGCCGCTGAAGGCGAGTCTCACCCCGAGTTCTCAAGAGGACAGCAATCAGGAAGACGACGGCCAGGACAGCTCTCCCAAATGGCCTGACTCCGGGTCCAGCTCCGAGGAGGAGTGCACAGCTGGCTACCTGACGCTGTGCAATGAGTATGGGCAGGAAAAGATCGACCTGGGGTCTTTGAATGAGGAGTCTGTCATGCAGCCCGAAGGGAAGAGTGCGGATACCCAGGCTGCTTTGAGTTTCCCAGCACCCCTTGCTGTTGATAGTGTGAGCCCTAGCACTCAGCTCAAGTTCTTCCCTGGTGATGAGGATCCAGGAGCAGCTTGTTCCCCTCAGACGTCCCAGTCCCTCACCATGTCAAAAAACAGCCCTATGGAGTTCTTTAGGATTGACAGTAAGGACAGCACAAGTGAACTCCTGGGACTGGATTTCGGCGAGAAGTTGCACGGTCTGAAGCCAGAACCTTTGAAAGCGCTCTTTACCCTTGCAGATGGAGACAGAGAAAGCAAGGAGGAGACTGAAGCTCAGGACTCCATCAGCAGGGGCTCAGATGACTCCGTCCCGGTCATTTCATTCAAAGAAGCTGCTCTTGAGGATGTCTGTGGTGCTGAGGAAGGAAGGCCTGACCTTCTGGTAAACCTGCCTGGTGAACCGCAGCCAACCAGAGAGGCTTTAGCAATGGACCCCACTAAGTTTTCACAGGCTGGTGCGGGCAGGCTGGAAAGTAAACTGATGGAAGCCCCGGATGTTTTATGCCTCAGGCTGAGTTCTGAACAGTGCCATGGCCTGGGGAAAGAAGGCCAAGAGGAACTGAGTGATCCCACTAGGTCCCTGGCCTGTGGTGTGACCCCAAAGCACCATGTTCAGGCAGATCTCGGGGTGTTGTTCACAGCTGCTGTTGATCGCAGTAGCTCAGGAGACCAGTTTCTGTTAACCAGTTCATATCCCGAGTCTGAAGGGCTGGGACAAGTGGAGGCAGTGGTCACTGCACATGACACGGGAGAAAGCCCGGTCCACATCTCTAGTCCACGCTCAGGTGCACACACAGACAGTGCCACAGTGGAGGAAGTATTACTGTTCACAGAGCAGGCTAAAGAGGAACCACGCTCTCTGTTTCAGAGAGACTCTGAGACCAAGGAGCAAAGTGTGCTAGCCCTGGGAGGAGAGAAGGAAATCCACCAGATTTTTGAGGACCTTGATAAGAAATTAGCAGTGAGCTCCAGGTTCTTCATCCCAGAGGGCTGCATTCAGAGATGGGCAGCTGAAATGGTGGTAGCCCTTGACGCCTTGCACAGGGAGGGGATTGTGTGCCGTGATCTGAACCCAAACAACATCTTATTGAATGATGGAGGTCAGGAACTTGCGCAAATGCATTTCTTTTTATTCGCTGTTGCTTCCAATTAACTGAGTAGGCGTTTTATCTTGTAATTAGTATCTTCATTTCCTGTCTAGAGCTTCATTATCAGTGCGGCAAATTCACCCCCAGTAATAGCTTCTAGTACTTAATGATGCCATTATTCTTAATGATACTGTTTTTAGCTACAAAAGGAGTAATTACAGTTCGCTTCTGCAGAAAATGGAAGAGAAAAATGTTTTGATTTCTCCTGTCGTTTTGTTTTTAGGACACATTCAGCTAACGTATTTTAGCAGGTGGAGTGAGGTTGAAGATTCCTGTGACAGCGATGCCATAGCGAGAATGTACTGTGCCCCAGGTTAGAGCAATCTCCTCAAACGCTTCACTTGAAAAGGTGGCTCGGTGGCTCTTCCTTCTCTGTACAACTTGTGTTTTGCACTGGCAGTTGACGTATGTGTTGGGTCTGCTCATTCATCCTTCAGCCCTCCAAAGAAGAAACGTAAGGGATTGAGCTGTCTGTGGCCCAGAGGTGTGTGTGTGTGTGTGTGTGTGTGTGTGTGTATACACATGCACACGTGTGCACACTTACTGCCCTCGTTAAAAGCATTTGTGTATCTTCGGAAACTCATTGCATTCTTTGAAGCGTCTGAAGCAAGGCCGTAGGTCCCCTGAGCCTCTTCACATGGGTGAGCTTTATTAAGTTTTCTTAAGATGTCAGTGAAATTCCCAAGGCTAACAGTGGATAAAATGAGTTCTTTTGATGCAGTATGCCTTCAGGGATGAACTGTCCTGGAAGTTGAGAACATGTTTTAAGACAGTCTATATTTGAGACCATAATAAACACACTCCCCTACTTTAAAAGGGCCCATGTACTTGACTGAAGTCTCTCTTGCCCTTCCTGCCTGCTCTTTATTTTTGAACATTACAGATGTATTGCTGTGGCCATTAGGGCCTCTGGAGGCAGCCATAGCTGAGCTTATAGATTGGATTTGAGTTACTCTCTTGTCAGAGCAAGCGGGCTCTGTCCAAGTCCACAGCTTTCTCTCCTGTCCCAAGCATGCATTTCTCGAGGAGGAGCTTAGTCATTACCTGCCCGCTGGCCGCCAAGTGTCGCAGCCGATGGAGCAGACTGCATGCACTAGGTTTAGCTTGTGTTAGCTCACCACCGGGTTGCTGTTCCCTTGTTGGGCTCAGCTTTGTGAGAAATGATCATGAGGAATGCAAGAGCTGATCACTGTTAGGGAACCTTCGTTGTTAAGAGTGGCTGGGCTGAGGACAGGCAAGTTTTCGACTCATAATGCAAATCCTCAGACTTCGTACCCAAACAGCTGCTCGGGAACTGACGCTGTTGTAGTTTTTGGAGTCAGGAGAAATGTAGTGAAATCCCTTGACCCCGAGTTCCTAGGCACCGGGTCCTAATTTGGTGCCCGCTAGCACGAGCATGTTTATTAATTACACTGGATTCTGGGCATGTTAGAACCACCTTAGGACAGGGAGGCCCTGTGAGTGCAGTGTGCCCCATGCTGAAGTGGGGTCCAGTGCTGTGTGTTAGAGCTGAACGCTGTGGTGTTCCTGTTCCGGACGCTGTTGCTGCCTGCGCAGCTGGGGCTTCCCTTCCGAAAAGTGGCTGTTGGGCTATTTTGCCACTCTAGCACATCAAGGCCAGCTCACTTTAGCATCTGAGAGCGTCTCTATGTCGGGATGAAACTATTCCGTATACACTCTTGGTCTCAGGTACTGACTGCCTGTGTTTACCGGTTTCCAAGTCCTAACTTTGTCTCTCCGGGAGTGCCACTCCTCAATTTGGCCAGCAGGTGGCAGTGCACCATTAATGGATTCTTTCCCCTGCAGTCCTCTTCCAGGCTGTTGTCCTTCACAGTGTTTGGGGGGAAAATCCAGCCAAACTGTAGTCCAAACAGAGGCTTTGTTGTAATTGTTTGCATGAAAGAATTGCACCTTCCAGCTGCTTAGCTGCTCAGTGCACGAGCAGCAGGGGAGTCCCTCCAGCCCTTGGACAGATCAATGTTACAACAAGGAGAAACAGACCGGGAGCAGCCTTACCAAAGAGTGGTTCTGTCCTTCCCGCTAACACAACGTCAAGCCCGGAGAGGCAGGCGAGTGAGGTGCAGAGCCCACTTAGCGCCACCCAGCAGTGCTGCCTGTGAGCTGATCGGCTTCCTTCTCACTGGGAGGGAGCAGTGGTAGTGGGCCAGTGTTTCAGTGTGTGCTGACCGTCCAGCAGAAAGTAAAGGTCAGAGGGCAAGGAGGAGCTTTGCCTGCTCTCTGCTTATACAGCTCCCCTGCTCCTCCCCCTCCTGAGAATCCTTAGCACCTGTTTGTCCGAAAACCATCACTCACTTGCCTGTGCTTTATCTCATCAGCGTATCCTTTTATCTTGTGGATTGTGCCTTGATATTTTGAGAAAAATTTCCAGTTACAGATTCGAATTACATGGACAGAAACTTGAGCAAATGCCAGACTAGCAGGGGGGCCATTATTCTGTTCTATAAATAAGTTTAGACCAGAAAACCCTCACAGAAACCTGGGAATCAACATGTTTTGCTCTAATCGAGGGGGAAGCAAGATAGATAAATTTTGAAATGCAAATGACCACCTTCTGTTATTTAAGAATTGCTTCTGCCAACTTTGTGAGCTTAGATTTAAAGTCACAGCCCTCCAGCCACGCGCACCACTGAGGCAGTTCAGGGCTCACAAGTTTTCTCAATAAAACTAAGAACTTAAAAAATAAATTGCCCTCTTATGTTAAAGAAAACAGATCCAACAACACAAAGACAAAAACCGCGGAGCTGTCTCTGTCTCCGTCTCTGAAAACGCCGGCCCTTAAATGGCTGCAGCTGCGCTCCATCAAGAGGGTCTTGAGAATACGAATTTATGCACCAGACCCAGCCCTGTGTTCAGAGGCGTCTTGCTCCTTCGGGTATCCAGCAAGGTCTTACTAAACAGACACCACTTATGGTAAATGATTCCTTTCGTGCCAGGTAGACAGGGCCGCAGCACCGTCCCCTCCAGGTAGACAGGGCCGCAGCACAGTTCCCCTCCAGGTAGACAGGGCCGCAGCACGGTCCCCCTCCAGGTAGACAGGGCCGCAGCACCGTCCCCTCCAGGTAGACAGGGCCGCAGCACCGTCCCCTCCAGGTAGACAGGGCCGCAGCACAGTTCCCCTCCAGGTAGACAGGGCCGCAGCACGGTCCCCCTCCATGTGGACGACAGGGCCGCAGCACGGTCCCCCTCTAGGTAGATAGGGCCGCAGCACGGTCCCCCTCCAGGCACCCCCTCCTTCAGGAGCTCCTGGGAGCACCGGGAGAGAAACCAGGGTGCTGCACACCTCTCTGCAGGCCGCTTGGTTGTACCAAATCTGATTTTATTTCTAATGTTACAGAAACCACAACTTCTCCAAGCTTTTGGCCCAAGGATTTGAAACATTTCTTCACTTGGTAGCACAGAATAATTTTTGTTACGGCATTTTTAGTGTAATAGGAAAATCAAATACGATGGTACGGGCTGCAGCTAGTGTTGTCTTAGCAGTCTCGACGCTCACCATCAAAGGCAGCAGGAAATAGAAGGTCCACTCTTACCCCGTGAGATACAAAGGCCGGCTGAAAACTGAGCGTGTAAGTGAGCAGGGTTAGTCACGTGTAGTTGCTAAGCTAATGTCCTCCCCACATTCCCATTGTCCCCTCAGACAGGTCCCTGTGTGACCCTCACTCTTATTTTCCACCCCATTAGGAGGCTTTAGGTTTTTATTTATTTATTTGAGACAGGGTTTCTATGTAGCTTTGGAGCCCGTCCTGGAACTCTTGTAGACCAGGCTGACGTCAGACTCACAGAGATCTGCCTGCTTCTGCCGAGTGCTGGGATTAAACGTGGGTGCCACCACCGCCTGGCTGTGAGGCTTTAATTTTAAATACTTGAAATCTACATTGATATTTCTTGCAGAATCCTTATGGTCCTGGAGAATTTATAGTGAGCGTGTGCATGGGTTGAAGAAGCCCCAGCGTATTTTTCACTGCAGCCCCTCTCCACGCTCCCAGATGTCAAATGACAGCTTTGCTTCCGTGGTCAGGCGATTTCACACTTGAGGACAGCTCACAGCTGACAGCAAAAAGTGGAACACACAGAAGTCACGCTGCAAAGCGACTGCAGACTTCAGTGTAGAGCATGACAGTCACGTGCTTCCTTCCCACGCTCCCCCAGCCCCCTGCAGTTAGTCCAGGAATATATTCAGGGGAGGAGTCCCTTTGACCTTCTCTATGATATGTTTCCCTGCTATCTCTTTCTTGACAAGTGTGGTACTCAGCAGTATAGCCAGGTGTTTGATAGGAGAATCAGCCCAGGGAAGGTGTGAAAGTATGGAGACCACCAGATACCTGTGGTGTAGCTTCAGGTGATGCTTGTGATGTAGGTTCAGGTGTCCTGAGCATCACTGGTCCCAGATGTGGAGACCACCGGATGCCTGTGGTGTCACTGAGCATCGCTGGTCCCAGAGCCGGCATTCACTAGCTATATGACCTTGGACAGGTTATCTAGGACCTTCAGCACTCAAGCGTAGTAGTAAGTAGATTTGTTGATAGGAATGAATCACCTGTGTCAGTCACATGACACCCTCCCTTCTTACACAAAATTCAGTTAGAGTTCAAGCTCATCTAGTGTGAAAACCCACCTACCAGCAGAGTTAAAGAATTATTTTGCTTGGAAGACTTTTAAAGTATATATTTTTACTTTTTTTAAAAAGTGTATATTTTTGCTTACCTATAGGGTCTTTGTATAAACTATTTACAGTGGAAATGAGAGCTTCATTGAAAACATTTTCATTTAGAGGAAGAAGCCAGACACTTTTGAATGCATGATTCTCAGCAGCAATCACAATTATTTAAAAAAGCGAGGTTTATTTAACTGTAAGGGTCCTAGAGTGACTTTAGCAGACAGGGACAAGGCAACAACTAAAGCTGTCTATTCAGAAGTAGTGAGGACATAGGCAGGGAATGTGATTGTGGTCCCGGAGGCTTTCTTCCTCTGCTGAAGAAAGTAATGGAAGGCAAGGCTGAGTTGTGGCTGAGGTGTGCTGAGCTGAGATGGAAAACACTTGATCAGTAGGTCCTGGCATGTGGATGTTTTGTTTTCTGGACAGCTCAGCAGGTGTCTTCCATCCTTTGCCTCGAGTTCTCGCTGTGAAGCCAGGCTGTTCTTCCAAGGAGAGGAAAGAGTGGGAATTTCTCGCTCATTCTCCACCGTATGCCGGAGTGAAAGGGGCTCAGGTCAGAAGTTGTTTCTGTCCAGGTGAAGAAGCCCATCTGCTGCCACGGAGAGGACAGTGAGCGCAGGCGGGCTTGAGGCTCT